CATATGAAACCTACAGGTCCATGGAATCCTCAAAGGTAGGTCCCCAATATTCCCTCTTGGAAATGCCATCCTGGTACGCTTTGGCAAACGCAGAATTGTGATTTAGCTAAACGGAAAGCAAATGAGCATTTATTCATTGAAGCAATGTACAAATCGACAAACAGCAGTGACAGCCAAACTAAATTGGCTCATGGGGTGGAGGGTCGGGGGGCATCGATCGAGAATTTCTTCGACAAACTCGGGAATGGCGGAACGAGCAGCCCAATCCTTGGAGAGTTCAGTGACTTGCTCTTGCGTGGGAACCTCTCCTGTAACCAAAAGCCAAAAGAGGCCTTCAGGAAGTGGCTCTGAACCGCCGGGTGCCTTGGGGAGTTGTTCCTGACACTCAGGGATAGTTTTGCCGCGGAAGCGAATGCCTTCCTCTGATGTTGCATGAAAATCAGCAAGTCTTCGCACGGAAATATGTAAGACATGCCGGAATCGAGTACTGAACCATCCCAGATGAGCGCGGGAAGACCTCTCATTCCACTGGAGAAGAAGTGAGACCAGACATAGAAATATCTGTCTGGATAAGAATACTCACCCATAAAGCTGGTCAACAACGACGGGGCCGAAGGACTTTTTACCATACTCTCCACGAACAGCTTTAACCTAGAGTGATATGAAAACTGGAACAGACAGGAGCGAGGTACAACGCACATGTTCTATCTGAGCAGGAATGAGTTCTGCGAGCCGTTCCTTCAACGTGACGGGTTTTGAGGCTGTTGACGAGAACCGGACCGAAGCAAGCGTGGAACGGGCAGCAGAGGAGCGCGACTGAGAAACTTCTCGTAAGATATTCAATGCTCAAAGACAAGAAGTAAGTAAATAACTTGCAGCTCTGAAGAGGGAGCGAGCAGAGGCAGCCATGGTCGGAAGAGAGAAGTATTTCGCTAGCAAGCCAAGCGCTCGTAAAATATATGGACTCGATCACGTGTCCGCGGGCTTCCCTCTGGGTCATTGACCGGCTTCCACCTCTCACAGCAGCCATGGCAAAGCGCAAGCGTGGTACCCAGCAGGCCGACAACAAACTCAACGACGCCACTGTGGCACCTCTTCCCCAGGTTGATCTCGACTTTTCCTCCTAATCATACCGAGCTTACTGTTTCGTAAGAAAAAACACTACAGACAACGCGCACATGCCAATCCCTTCTCAGATCATTCTCTTGAGTATCCGGCTGCACCTCGGCATATCGATTGGTCCACACACTATCCTGCTTATGCCAATACTGGAAAGCTCCCTGAATTTGCAGATGTTGGCTGCGGTTTTGGAGGCCTCTTAATCACCCTTGCCCCTCTATTTCCTGATACACTAATGTTAGGTGAGATTCTTGCCATGTTCAATCATGTCCGTCAGAGCTTAGACCACCCCCAAGGGTTGGAAATCAGGGTACAGGTCTCACAATACGTGCAAGATCGCATCGCAGCCCTCCGCGTCAACGCTGCTTCAGAGGCAGCTGCATCATCTACAGAAGGCCCTCAAACTGCTCACTATCAGAACATTTCCATTGTTCGTGCGAACGCGATGAAGTTCCTGCCGAACTACTTCGCGAAGCATTCCTTATCGTCATTGTTTTTCCTCTTTCCTGATCCTCACTTTAAGTCACGGAAGCACAAGGCTCGCATTATCTCCCCCACGTTACTCGCCGAATACGCCTATGCCCTCCAACCCGGCGGTATTGTTTATACGATCACGGACGTCAAAGATCTCCACGATTGGATGCGATCACATCTCGAAGCTTTCCCTTTGTTCGCTTATGTCGATGAAGAAACGCTTCGCGCAGAAGGCAAAGGCCCGATCATTGATGCCGTATATACAAGCACAGAAGAGGGGAAAAAGGTCGAGAGAAACAAAGGTGATAAGTGGTTAGCCTGTTTTAGACGAATCGAAGTCGAGCGGCGAGAAAAGGTGGATTTGCTCACGTAGCTTTCCACAACTGCACACCGGTTAAAATTCATTCATCCGGTCATCGTTATCTTTGTCTACCACATCCCCTCCACCAACTCGAGGAGCTGACCCCATGGCTGTGACGAGCATGCTTGTTCGTGATTGAACCGCGGTTTTCATCTCTCCGTGGATCACCTTTGCTGCGTCCGTTGCAAGCTTGAAAATTTCTTCGAATCTATCCACATGTAGTCGTGTTTCCATCGTCAGTAATGTCACCTTGCCCGTCTTGGGCATCACAGCAATTGTAACATTAGGAATATCGTTTTCTTCGAGTAATGTGAGATCAAGAAGGGGTGAAGTTGAGTGGACCCCGCCCGTGACAGCACAGACAAAGTCCAGGAGAGGGATACCAGCGTTGACTAGGGCCAGAGTCGTGGCATTGATACAGGCTTGAAGGAGCCCGCCATCTTGCTGTAGCACTTGTACAAATACATCTATCTGTGAACGAGGATAGAGGTTCGTCTGTATCACAGGCTCGAACGTAGACTTGATAGAGGCAGCTAGCTCAAGGATGCGTCTGTAGAGTTGTCAACCAATTTTTCTGTGCTGGGTCCATAGACGACCTCACTTGTCACCCCGGGTACGCTTTCGCCGGTCGCCGGTGCTAAAAGCAGCAACACCTACTTCGACATTGACGTTGGCGCGATCATGTATGGTTTGCGAGCGTATTTTTGCTTCTCGGGGCCCGAAAATAGACACAAGAACGTGGGTCAGACCGTGTGTCACGACAGCAGAGCCATCAGCCTGGCCTTGCTGAGAGAGATCAATGGTGATATCGCGCAATTCGAACTGACGCCTGCCATCGGAGCGAAAGCCGCCCTGGTTGAGTATCTCGATCCTAGAGCCCTGTGGAAGTGTGAGCAGCAGGACGTGCTTGGCAGAGGATAGACCGGACCATTACAGATGGACGCAAGAAGTAAGCAATGGAGTTGAATTAGAATAAGGTCACGAGTAGGTATGCATACTTTAAAGTTTGATCGTCATTTATTGTATCCCCTTTCTGCTGCTCCAAAAGTCCAATATACTCATATCAAGTTCTACTTACTGACTAGTACTTAACCGTCCATTGTAAGCCACTCCCCTTACCCCGGACCATTATGTCTTCAGCACCAGCATCCTCTCCTACCTCCATCCTCGACACCGATCTCTACAAGGTCTGACCTCACAGCTTACTTGGTTCTTCTCCTTCTCAGTTACTTCTAGCTCACTATGCAGCAAGCCGTCCTCCACCACTTCCCCAATGTGTCGGCTAAGTATCGCTTCACCAATCGCGACAAGACGCGCCTCTTTTCTCGCCACAGCGTCGAACGCTTCCGTACCGCCGTGTCGCGTTCGTCTTGACATCCCGAGAATGGTCCATCTCGTTGATCTCTTCCCTACAGAGTTCACTGATCTCACACTTACTCAGCAAGAACGTCAATGGCTTCACAAAACCTGTCCATACTTCAAGCCCGCCTATCTTTCTTTTCTCGCTTCCTACAGATACAAACCTGAGCAGGTTCGCATCACGTTTGTCCCAGTCTCTGCCGACGGGTTACTAGGAAATGTGGAAATCCAAGTCTGTGGTCCTTGGACAGAAACAATCCTTTGGGAGGTCCCGTTGATGGCCACCCTGAGCGAGTGCTTCTTCCATTCAGTTGATGTCGACTGGAATTATGACAACCAAGAACGTAAGCAATTTGCTCATTAAACGTTAAAGTTCTTTGTTTTAGTACGAGTTGTCCTTCACAGAAGCCGCTTATATCAAAGGCCGGAGTCTTTTAGAAGCGGGCTGTATATTTAGTGAATTCGGTACCAGGCGAAGACGGTCATATCACACTCAAGACCTTGTAGTCGGTGCCCTCGTTCGCGCATCACGCGATGCTCCTAAGAAAGGTCGGCTCAGCGGAACGAGCAACGTAAGTCTTTAGTAAGTCACTCCGCGGCAAGTACTTTTGACACTGCCACAAGGTGCACTTTGCACAAAAGTATGACCTCACCCCTATAGGCACAATCGCCCAGTAGGTTTTAATCTGATCACTCACGTCACTATCCATTCATATCACATCGAACCTTCCAGCGAATGGTTCATGGGTGTAAGTCGGCCATCTTAGCACGAAGAAAACCCGGCTAATTGGTAATCATACACCAGGTTGCGGCCATAAAGGGTTATGAGAACACACATTCAACATCTCTAGACCTCTGGGAGGCCGTTTACTCCGACTCTCTTTTGGTTGCGCTGACGGACACATTTACGACAAGCGCATTTTTCAAAGTGCGTCCAAGTTGATTCCATTTCTCGATCAACATGGCATGATTGTTCGCGCAGGACTTTACTGCAGATCCGGAACGCGTGCAGAAATGGAGAGGCTTGCGTCAAGATTCCGGCGACCCCTTCGCTTTCGGTCCGCGTGTGAAAGAGATGTATGAGTCTCTTGGGATCGATCCTCGCCGAAAAGCCATCATATATTCAGACTCCCTGAGTGTCGACAAGGCCATCCAACTGCAGGGACAGGCCAAGGAGCTCGGTTTCGAGCAAGGTATGCGTTTTGTTTTCCTCTTCAGCATGATTGATTGCCCGCTAATCATCTTGTGTCTTTCCAAGTGTCTTACGGCATCGGTACCTTCTTCACGAATGATTTTCATACCGCTTCCAGCGGTAGCGGTGGAACGGAGAAGAGCAAGGCGCTGAATATCGTGATCAAACTGTCATCGGTGAATAACAAGCCTTGCGTTAAGATCAGCGACGACATCACCAAGGTATGTGACACAGTCTCTAGCCCGATATTTGGTCGGACTGAGTTACCATACAGAACACTGGAGACCAAGCAACTGTGGAATATGTTAAACGCCTCTATAATCTGAATATCGTAGATACTTAGTATGGCCACGTAATTGTACAGCTTGCACATTCTGGTGTCTGACATACGTCTGTGTATACATATGGCGATGTACGATAGATATGTGCCTGTAGCACGGATATGAAATTGGGTTTATTTGTGGTAAAGCAAGAATGTTGCGGAAAAAGCAACAATGGGGGCACCGCGGATCGAACGCGGGACCTTCAGAAAGACTCTTGTATTATCTTCAGTCTGCTGCTCTCCCAGCTGAGCTATGCCCCCATGTTTGCATCAACAAACATATATAATATATTTGAGGGATATTCCTCTCGCCGAACCACAACGACGAACATGTTAGGGACCGCATGAAGTGGCCCAGCTTACCTCCTGTCACCTTGTTCTCCTTATCCCCTCGCCATGCCTAACAGGCATTGTTCACTATCTCAGCGCCAGCACCCTGGTAAATTTCATCGTCTTCTCCACGTTATATATACTAATATTTTTGACAGCCCAGCCTGCGGTCCTGGCCCGTTTTCAAGCTCTCTTACCACCAATGCCTAATGTAATACCGGAAAAGTTTCTTCCACCCGTTCCGCCGCCAAAGTCCGCGTCAACAACTCGCAAGGCCCTTAGATGCCTCAAGATCCGTATAGTTACTTGGAATATGCATGATTCCGTCCCAAAGGCATGTTCTGTGCCTTATGAGAGTCGGCGTGTATTGCTAATTTCTCTTCAGGGCGACTTAGAAGAGTTCTTCGGTAAGGTGCCTCTTTGGAGCCCGTCAAGCTCAACTTCCTCGGGGACAATCCCAAATTTCCCACTTGAAGCTGTTCACCCCTATCATCTCGTCGTTGTGTAAGCTAGAACGCGCATTTTATCCTAGCTTTGCTCTTATACGGGAATTCAGTGCAGGACAGGAGTGTCCATCCTTGTCGGGTACGTTATTGAGTACCTAGATATGCTGTCTTCGTCTCTTAGTTTTTCTCAGGAATTCCGATGGGTCTCGGCGCAGGTTTGAATAAGCTGATGGAAAAGGACAAGAACAAGGATCGCGAAAACTTGGAAAAATCACGAACACGACATAAGGACAAGGATGAGGACCAATCCCATGAGCCTCCGTCCGGGTGGACGTCCATGATCGATGACTGGTTATGCCAAGGCAGTGGAACGCGCACAAGCTCTCCTACTGTGGCTGACATTGGATTTCCCAAGCCCCTTGCGCCGCGACCGCTATTTAAGGAGCCAAGAAAAGGCCCGTATCAGCTTCTTGTCAAAGAACGCATGATGGGGATATATCTCGCAGTATTCATTCATCGTGACTTGCACCCGCTTGTACGCGGTACCTCCCGCTCTGCAGTCACTGCAGGACTCATTGGTGGGCGTGTAGGGAATAAAGGTGCTGTCGGGATTACAATAAATCTAGATGGCACAACGTTTTTGTTTCTCAATGCACACCTTGCAGGTAATTCGTGTTTGGTTGTGTTTTTGCATCGCATTAACGACTTCTTCCAGCGCACGAGGCGAAGCTGAATCACAGGCTGTCCAACTTGATTAAAATCAAGGTAGGACACAGTTCTCTCAGTTTGTTCTTGGTTCATCAGAGACTAGAATGAACTCGCTGTGGATGACTTTTTGGGAAATGATGACCCACGAGTCATGGCTGAAGGTAGTGTAATGAACCCAACGTAAAGACGATGCTCATGCGTTATCTAGATCTCACCGACAAGTTTGATCACACGTTTCTTTTCGGTGATCTTAATTTCCGACTCGACATTTCTCGACTTCACGCGGACTGGCTGTTGTCGAGAAAAGGTCAGCGTAGTGTCATTCTTATCGGTCACCTTCTTAGTCTCTGCCAGAATATGCACAAGCGCTAGCTTTCGACCAACTTACCAACTTGATGAAGAGCGGGGAAGCGTTCGTCGGTTTCAAAGAGGCACCAATTAACTTTCCTCCGACTTTCAAATATGATGTTTTACGATCATTGAAGCACATTAAACGTGGGAAGTCGCAGCCTGGCTCATGGCGACGACCAGATGGACAGTCATGCCGTTTGACCGAAGTCGAAAAGGAAGTCGAGGACCTTGAGAAGAAAGAGGCAGAAGAAGAAGCAGAAGAAGAGGGTGAGGAAGCTACATCTGTTGCCTCGTCCCAGTGTATGTCAACACCTTCACGAGCTACCGAGCGCGACCCTGAGGACGAGGAGGTTTTCACGTCACCATCCTATCAAACTATGGCGAGTTCTACTAGCAAGACCTCTGTAGCAGCTGTCACCCACGGAGTCAAGGCCAGGTGGTTGCATTTCTTTTCTTCTCACAGAATCAAGCCATATCAGGCTCAGCCGCGCGAGAATGTCATAACAAAGGCGCATAGCTCGGTTGACATCATATCAAATGGGTTGTTGACGCCAGCTACTGCTTTTGATTCCATTGATCCTACTGAAAAGACGCGTCTGCAGCCACCACGGATAATCTCAGTGAATTCCACTAAATCTAGCCTTCTGAGTAAAGAAGAGGACGATAACAGCGACAAAGGAGTGTACGATTCTTCTCACAAGAAGCGTGTACCAAGCTGGTGTGATCGGATACTCTGGAAATCCACAGTAAAGCCTGAGCCTGAACCCGAGGAAGAGACTCAAGGGCCCTTTTGGCGCCCCCGTACTAGAGTGAGCCAATTTCTCGTTAACGCCTTCCGCCCCTTGTCCGCACGCATGCGCAAAGATTCTGTAGCATCCTCTGAAACTTCCAGCTCCACCGTGACGGATGAAGTACATCATGAGCTGCAATCACCATCTTCATCTCTGGAAACACCGGATGACTCTGCTCCCCTTACCTGCGTTGTTCAACCTTCACTTGCAAACAATCGATTACGATCTACACTACACAAACATCACGCACATCCCGAAATTGGGCTCCGGCAGACGACCTCATCAACAACCTTGCCGTCTGGCGCGAACGACCATCATGACCAAGTCCAACGGCGCATGACAGAGTCGGGAGCGACGTCGTCTTCTCTGAATTTGCAACAATACCCACATCTAGATACCCAGCCATCAGCATCCTCATCTCGCTGGCGGTTTCTCCCCTTTTTTTCGCATAATACACGGAGCAGTACATCTATAGAGCCACCTTCGAGTGCAGATGCGGTGCCTGCGCCCAGGAAAGGTGATGTGGTTTGTTTAAGCTACCACACACTGGATGACCGTGGAATGCGACGGCTGGAAGGTAGGAGCGACCACCGGCCAGTGATCGGGTCATACGTAGTCTATGTATAATACTTGTGCAAAACATGACCATAAAAGGAGAACAAACCCTAGAGTGGGGTCAGGCTTGTAATTTAAGCAACCATCATGCCACCACAAAATCTCGCGTTTGGGTCGACGCACCATCGCAACCATTCAACATACACGCTGGCCACCGTCAACAACGACGACTGCGACGACCGGGCGCCCCTCCTCACCCCAGTCACTCCCTCTTATGGCACCGCCAACCATCCCCATTCCCCTTCCAGACCCTCTTCGCGCAAGGTCATCCTCAATGCCACTCTCAAGATGGCCGCCATCTTTGTTATCTCTTCTCTCTTTCTTGCCCTGTCTCTGTGGTTAGCTCTTCCAACGCTAGAAGAGTAAGTCTGTGATAGTCCTCATTTGGAAGAGTCGACTAATGTCTTTACAGAGACGACCGGCCGCGGTTGCGAATTCCGAAATCATTTGTGCAGCTGCAGGACCTCAATGCCCTGCTCAAGAAATACCGTGACATATATCCCTACCGCATCGTCGTCTGCTATGTGATCACTTACTTTTTGTCCGTTTCTTCTTTTGGCTCTCACACGCTGTACTTATATTGACCCATACACAGCCTCCAAGCATTCTCCCTACCTGGATCAATGTATCTTTCCATCCTCGGCGGCGCCGTATGGGGTGTCGCCCGTGCCCTTCCCCTCGCCTGTACTTGTGTCGCCACCGGTGCCTCTCTCTGTTATCTCATTTCTGCTGCCCTCGGGCCTGCTCTCCTTACTCTGCCTAAATGGAAAGCTGTCCTCGACAAGTGGGCCAACAAGATCCAGGCTAACAAAGAGAATGTGATCTCTTTTCTTATTGTCCTGCGCATTGCCCCCCTTCCGCCACATTGGGTTGTCAACGCTGTGTGCCCCCACGTTGGCATCGGTCTGGTCCCCTTCTGGATCAGCACCTGGCTCGGCGTTTTTGGTGTCTCCGTGATACACACTACTATCGGCGGCGGCCTTGACGAGATGACAAGCGCAGATGACTTTCATTTAATCAGCTGGCGCAACTTTTTCGGGCTAGCTGCGATTGTCGTTGGAGTGATGATCCCCGTTGGGCTTCGCTATTGGTTCCGAAAGGAAGTGAACAACGCCGTCGAAGAAGAAGAGGCAACAGAAAGTGAACGTGGCGTTCAACTTGTGGATGATGAAGAAGGCGGTGATACTGTCCTAGCCGTTGGCCCACCGCCGGTGGTCAAGAAGTTTAACGGTGTGAATGCGCTCGTGGCCCGTGGTGATGACGATGAATACGATGATTCCGATTCTGACGCAGATGTGATACTAGAGTCTGGACCTCCAATCTCCAATCAAGACGATGATTCCAGCGACCACAGCGACGAGAATATAACCGACTTGAATGTTGCCGCTGACTCAAGCAGCCGTTCATAGAATTCATGACCCCATTTACGACTGTATCATTTCCTGTATCCCTCATCGTCATCGTTTCTGCACTTTGCACATACTACATCTTCACGATCCATTTTCGTTTCGCATTTAGCTATTCCTTTATCCGATTCCCTGTAAACAAACAACTTGTAATAATTTCTGCTGCGCTCCTCCTGGTTTGCGGAATTCTACATATATGAATTTCTCTCAAGAAGTCAACGATCACCTGTACATTTGTTGCTTCTGGTAAGTACTTTCAGTGGTGCTTCCACTATTCATCTTTTGCACTGAAGTAACTCCTTTTGTATTAGAGTAATTCCTGCAAATCACCAGATTTGTCCGAACATGCAGGTCTTTGTTCATTTTCTGTTTAGAGTCTGTGGACCTGCATACATACCAGCCACTGACCATATGAGCACAGTATCTAAAGGAGATCATGATGGGGATGGGACATGAATAGCAGATAACGAGGCCTTATTTAGACACCTTGTAGTATACTGCAGTCATACAATTCCCTCTGTGTACTCGGGGCTGAAATAAATGGCTAATCCGAAATGGACAAGCCTAGATACCTTTTTTTACTCTCTGTGGATGTACAACTAACGCATCCGAAT